CCGCGTTGTGTGCTCTCCTCTAGCACACACACTCTACTGCCCGCGTTGTGTGCTCTCCTCACAACACACACACTCTCTACTCCCCGCGTTGTGTGCTCCCTCAACATACACCACTCTACTGCCCGCGTTGTGTGCTCTCCTCCTCCCAACACACTCTACTGCCCGCGTTGTGTGCTCCCTCACAACACACTCACTCTACTGCCCCATGTGCTCTCCCACAACACACACACACTCTACTGCCCGCGTTGTGTGCTCTCCTCACACACACACACACTCTACTGCCCACGTTGTGTGCTCTCCTCACACACACACACACTCTACTCCCCGCGTTGTGCCTCCTCCACACACACACACTCTACTGCCCGCGTTGTGTGCCTCCCTCACAACACACACACTCTACCGCCGTTGTGCTCTCCTCTACACACACACTCTACTGCCCGCGTTGTGTGCTCTCCTCACAACACACACACTCTACTGCCCCGCGTTGTGTGCTCCTCTACAACACACACACTCCTACTGCACGTTGTGTGCTCTCCTCACAACACACTCCACTGCCCGCGTTGTGTGCTCTCTCTCCTTCACACATTCTACCGCGTTGTGTGCCTCCTCACAACACACACACTCTACTGCCCGCGTTGTGTGCTCTCCTCAACACACACACTCTACTGCCCGCGTTGTGTGCTCTCCTCTACAACACACACACTCTACTGCCCGCGTTGTGTGCTCTCCTCACAACACACACATTCTGCCTGCGTTGTGTGCTCTCCTCACAACACACACACTCTACTGCCCACGCTTGTGTGCTCTCCTCTGCCACACACACTCTACTGCCGCGTTGTGTGCTCTCCTCCACACACACACACTCTACTGCCCGCGTTGTGTGCTCTCCTCACAACACACACACACTCTACTGCCCGCGTTGTGTGCTCTCCTCACAACACACACACTCTACTGCCCGCGTTGTGTGCTCTCCCTCTGCACACACACTCTACTGCCCGCGTTGTGTGCTCTAAACACACACACTCTACTGCCCCGCGTTGTGTGCTCTCCTCACAACACACACTCTGCTGCCCACGTTGTGTGCTCTCCTCGCCACACACACTCTACTGCCCGCGTTGTGTGCTCTCCTCACAGCACACACACACTCTCTGCCCATTGTGTGCTCCCCTCACAACACACACTGCTGCCCTGTGTGTGCTCTCCTACAACACACACACTCTGCCCACGCGTTGTGTGCTCTCCTCAGCACACACACTCTACTCCCGCGTTGTGTGCTCTCCTCACATCACACACTCTGCTTGCGTTGTGTGCTCTCCTCACAGCACACACACTCTACTGCCCGCGTTGTGTGCTCTCCTCACTGCACTCATATTTTCAAGCGTTATAGCTGTTCGTTATATATATATTTTCTCGGCTTTGTGTAGTGTACCGTACAGTAGTTGTTATTGTAATGTACCGTATAGCGGAAATGTACCGTACATTAGTGTAGTGTACCGTGTAGAAGTTGTTGTAATGTACCGTATAGCAGATATGTACCGTACATAGTGTAGTGTACCGTGTAGAAGTTGTTGTAATGTACTGTATAGCAGATATGTACCTACATTAGTGTAGTGTACCGTACAGTAGTTGTTATTGTAATGTACCGTATAGCAGAAATGTACCGCACAATAGTGTAGTTTACCGTAGAAGTTGTAATGTACCGTAAAGCAGATATGTACTGTACATTAGTGTAGTGTACCGTACAGTAGTTGTTATTGTAATGTACCGTATAGCAGAAATGTACCGTACACAGTAGGAAATGTGCAGTAGTTGTTGTAATGTACCGTATAGCAGAAATGTACCGCACATTAGTGTGTATGTACCGTACAGTAGTTATTTTGTAATGTACCGTATAGGTGTTATGTACCGTACATTAGTGTAGTGTACAGTAGTTGTTATTGTAATGTACCGTATAGCAGTTATGTACCGTACATTGTGTAGTGTACCGTACCGTACAGTAGTGTAGCTCGCCCTTCAGGGACCTTTCACCACAATAAACCGTTCTTTCACCTCGCGCCGCAAGAAAAAATATAAATTTAATGGACTGGCCCAAAATATGTGGGTGTTTATATGTGAACGGAGTGAGAATGTGTAAATAACCGAAGCGGTCGTGAATTCAAATTCAGCGCGTAACACTCACCCGAAATGGGATTCGAAGCTTCGAGTCGTCGATTCTTCGGAACTCGATCCCACTAGTGTTCTTTGTTTATATTTTGGCTGCCAGCTGGGTGATGACTTGTACATAAACTTAATATCGTGGTACTGTGTATTTTTTTCCTGTCCTCCGAGATATTTATTGTTTAAGATTAAAAAGGTAAGGGAATATAGTTCTTATAACAAAGTGGACACAGTATTTTGCGAGGATAAACCGAAGTAGTTTGGAGAGTTTAAGCGCTTGTCGAGCATTAAAAGATGGCCGGCAACCCTGAACGAGCAGAGAGGGGTGTGCGGTGGACGGCCAGAAAACTGCGTCAAACCAAACATTGTCTCCTTGTAATTCCATTTGGTGGTGACATAGCGGGGTTCATGCATCACCAGGTATTTCATCAATTCCTTGGTAGGGCGGCGCCGGCAAGATGTGAGGGAACGTGAGGCGGACCTCCTGCTTCACTCATTACCGATGCAATGCTTGCCTCACCGGGACACAGAATATTGATGTCGAATTATAATACCAAAAGGGAAGTTTTCTGATACGGGCTGTGGAGGGTTTTCTTGGTGTTCAGTCAGACGGGATATTCACCAAAGCTGCACAGCAAAGAACAGCAGTAACAGCCCCGTGTGTGTGTGTCTCTGTGTCCTCCACTGTCTACAAGCCTTGGATTACACACTTGTCTGTTCGTGGTTTTATTTCATGGTCTCTACACTACCTATCCACCAAGACTGCCTACACTTTATCCAATCACCCACTGAAGACTCCCTACCTACCCACCTACCCCACCCCCACCCCCCACCCACCTACCCCCACCCCCCCACCCCACCCCCACTCCCCACCCACCTACCCCCACCCCTACCCCTACCCACCCACCCCACCCACCTACCCATCTACCCCTACCCATCTACCCACTCCATCTACTCCCCATCCACCTATCCCTGAGGGTGGCCAGGAGGGCTAGATTAACCACAAAATAGCTCACAGATAATTTTGCTTATATTAATTCAGAAAAATACTTATTTTTGCGTTTGTTGTATATAACACCACAGCTTATTAAGTTTTGGAAATAACTGGTGTAATGTAAAGGGCAGCATTATTATATATATTTTTTGGTCTGAGTTTATTACTACTAAAGGAAAATAAAGTTGTGGTGAGGAATTTTATTTTTATTTGTGTCTTTGGTGTGTGTGTGTGTGTGTGTGTGTGTGTGTGTGTGTGTGTTAATTTGAATATGTTTAAACCAGTCAGGTCGTTAAGCCACGAAAAATCCTATTGAAGTCAGGCCAATAAACCACTCTTTTATTTCTGAACAAATTGAAGGATAATGTCTCTTGTCATTAAAGCTTTTATCTTTCTCTCACAGTGTACTAACCCTTGTGTTCTCCCCCACAGACAGTGTACTAACCCTTGTGTTCCTCCCCCAGACAGTGTACTAACCCTTGTGTTCCTCCCCACAGACAGTGTACTAACCCTTGTGTTCCTCCCCCCACAGACAGTGTACTAACCCTTGTGTTCCTCCCCCCACAGACAGTGTACTAACCCTTGTGTTCCTCCCCCCAGACAGTGTACTAACCCTTGTGCTCCTCCCCACAGACAGTGTACTAACCCTTGTGTTCCTCCCCCACAGACAGTGTATATAACCCTTTGTTCTCCCCCACAGACAGTGTACTAACCCTTGTGTTCCCCCCCATAGACAGTGTACTAACCTTTGTGTTCCTCCCCCCACAGACAGTGTACTAACCCTTGTGTTCCTCCCACAGACAGTGTAACAACCCCAGGTTCCTCCCCACAGACAGTGTACTAACCCTGTGTTCCTCCCCCCACAGACAGTACTAACCCTTGTGTTCCCTCCCCCACAGACAGTGTATTAACCCCTGTGTTCCTCCCCCACAGACAGTGTACTAACCTTGTGTTCTCCCCCCACAGACAGTGTACTAACCCTTGTGTTCTTCCACAGATGCACTAACCCTTGTGTTCCTCCCCCCACAGACAGTGTACTAACCCTTGTGTTCCTCCCCCCACAGACAGTGTACTAACCCTTGTGTTCCTCCCACAGACAGTGTACTAACCCTTGTGTTCCTCCCCCACAGACAGTGGTATTAACCCTTGTGTTCCTCCCCCACAGACAGTGTACTAACCCTCATGTTCCTCCCCCCCACAGACAGTGTACTAACCCTGTGTTCCTCCCCCCACAGACAGTGTACTAACCCTTGTGTTCCTCCCCCCACAGACAGTGTACTAACCCTTGTGTTCCTCCCCCATAGACAGTGTACTAACCCTTGTGTTCCTCCCCCACAGACAGTGTACTAACCCTTGTGTTCCTCCCCCACAGACAGTGTACTAACCTGTGTTCCTCCCGCCACAGACAGTGTACTAACCCCTTGTGTTCACTCCCCCCACAGACAGTGTATTAACCCTTGTTCCCCCAGACAGTGTACTAACCCTTGTGTTCCTCCCCCACAGAGACAGTGTACTAACCCTTGTGTTCCTCCCCCATAGACAGTGTATCAACCCTTGTGTTCCTCCCCCCACAGACAGTGTACTAACCCTGTGTTCCCTCCCCCCACAGACAGTGTCACTAACCCCTGTGTTCCTCCCCCACAGACAGTGTACTAACCCTTGGTTCTCCCCCACAGACAGTGTACTAAACCTTGTCTTCCTCCCCCCACAGACAGTGTATTAACCCTTGTGTTCCTCCCCCACAGACAGTGTATCAACCTCAGGTTCCTCCCCACAGACAGTGTACTAACCCTTGTGTCCTCCCCACAGACAGTGTACTAACCCTTGTCTTCCTCCCCTACAGAGACTGCCGTGTAGTGCGGGATCCTCACACACTCAAGTCTAAGGGTTACGGCTTTGTCTCCTTCGTTAAAAAGGCGGTGAGTACCTTGATTACTTGTTGGTCTTATTTCTGTTAGTTGTGGAGACGCTGTGTTGAGGAGAACTATTGTTAATGTTAGTTGTGGAGACGCTGTGTTGAGGAGAACTATTGTTAATGTTAGTTGTGAGACGCTGTGTTGAGGAGAACTATTGAATGTTAGTTGTGGAGACGCTGTGTTGAGGAGAACTATTGTTAATGTTAGTTGTGGAGACGCTGTGTTGAGGAGAACTATTGTTAATGTTAGTTGTGGAGACGCTGTGTTGAGGAGAACTATTGTTACGTTAGTTGTGGAGACGCTGTGTTGAGGAGAACTATTGTTATTGTTAGTTGTGGAGACGCTGTGTTGAGGAGAACTAAGACTATCTCTCCTCGTGGTAGTAATAGTGACGAACTGCATCTTGAAAACTATTTAGTATATACAGTATATGATTTTTTTTCCCGAATTTAGGGATGATAATCGAATTCGTCCCTAAAATATATCCCTACAGGTATTGGTTACGTGAGAATGTTCATGAATTTTAAGTAATGGTCAAAATTTGTTAGTGTGGCGGTGGTCAAGGTGAAACTACGTGTCATTAACTATTTAAAATTAGTTGGAAATTGGCTATAAATTAGTTGGACATATTATCTTTTTGAGAATATCATATAAGAGAGATAGATATATGAATTGGTGATTATATTGAAGGATTATTATATATTACACGAGAGATAAGATAATTTTATAATGGGAGAGGAAACGGCAAAATACTTTAAAAGTTTACAAGTTTTGGGGAGTTTTTGTATTTTTCTTTTAGTTTCTCTCTCTCTCTCTCTCACGTCAGGTACCAATATGTCAGGCCAAATCCCTGTGATAATGGTGATATAAAGGTGATTATCAACACACGCACGCCATTGAAATCATTACACCTGCCAATCAACTGTAGGTGAAGGAGCCAGCCAGGTGCTAGGTGAAGGTGGCGGGTGTAGGTGGTGGGTGTAGGTGGTGGGTGTTAGGTGGTGTGTGTGTGTGTAGGTGGGTGTGTAGGTGGGGGTGTTAGGTAGTGTTAGTGTAGGTGGTGGTGTTAGGGTAGGTGGTGGGTGCTAGGTGTAGGTTGTGTGTTGGGGTGAAGGTGTTAGGTGGTGTGGGTGTTAGGAGTGTAGGTGGTGGGTGTTAGGTGCAGGTGGTGAGTGTTAGGTGTAGGTAGGTGTCTGCTATGGGATGTTATGTATGAGCAGGATGTCAGTGGCGTAATGTGTGAGGGTACATTGTAGATGAATACATGGTATGATGTCATTGAGTGATGCAGTATGTTTGTGTAAATGAATGGTTGTAATGTTGTTTTAATGTAAAGTTTATGTAATGTTGGTGTTAAATGGTAGTGTGGAGTGAAGGTGTTAGTTTGTGGTGAATGTTTGTGTTATGTTTGTTATGTTTGTTTAAGGTGTTGGATGTTAGGTAAGTTGTATGTATGTGATGTTTGTGAGGATGATGGTGAATGGTATGTCACTCTGGTAGGTGTTGGACAAATGTTTTAATAAAGATGTAAAATGTACAGATAGACACAGACAGTCCACAGGAGGTATGAGTTGGCCATCCTCACAAATACTCCCCACCCCCTCCCACCACTTACCCTCGACAAATTAAACGGAGAAAGAATCATTTTTACGGTTCAGAAGCCCGGGAGGCGCGGGTCTGTCTCGCCTTGTCTCGAGTCGTTCTGGGGTCGTTTCTGGTCATCTCTGGACCTTCTTAGGCCTTTTCCTATAATCGTTTTGGTGTCGTTACTCTCGTCTCGGACCTTTTGTTTACCATTGACGTCGTGTCTATCGTCTTTGGGTTTTTTTCATTAACTCTAAGTGTCGTCTCGGTCGTCTTGAGTAGTCTTATGTTTACCAGGTAGGGTCGTTGCAATCTTCGTGGATGTTTCGTTTAACAGTTGGGGTCGTTTTTTGTCGTTTTTGGCCCTTTTGTTTAACACTGAGTCGTATCTGTCTTTTGGGATCTTTATTTCAACACTTGGGGTCGTATCTGTCTTCAATGGATCTTTGTTGATTACCTGGGATCGTATCTGTCGTCTATGGGTCTTTTGTTAACACCTGGGGTCGTATCTGTCGTCTATAGGTCTTTTGTTTAACACCTAGGTCGTATCTGTCGTCTATGGGTCTTTTGTTTAACACCTGGGGTCGTATCTGTCGTCTATGGGTCTTTTGTTTAACACCTAGGGTCGTATCTGTCGTCTATGGACGTTTTAACACCTAGGGTCGTATCTGTCGTCTCAGGCCTCATGTCTTACCATCTAGGGTAGTTTCTGTCGTGTGAGGTCATATTGGGGCTGTTTTGGACCATCTGGGGGTAGTTTTAAGGGTCGTTCCTGGCTATCTAGGTCGTTTAAGTCTATTTTTGTCTTATTAGGTCGTTTCTGGGTTTTGTTGATCCATTTGAAGTCTTAGACATTTTCCCTCGTCATTTATGGCCAGTCTTCTCCGACACCACCCGCCACTCCCTCATTCATTCCCTCACCACCCCTCCCTCCCTCCTCCATTCACTCACCACCCTCCCTCCTCTTCCATTCCCTCACCACCTCCCCTCCTCTTCCACCACCCTCCCTCCTCTTCCATTCCCTCACCACCTTCTCCCTCATTTCCTCACCACCCCCCCATTCCCCCACCACACCTTCCTCCCCCAATCCTCCCCACCTTCCTCCCCCCAATCCTCACCACACCTTCCTCCCCAATCCCTCCCCACCTTCCTCCCCCAATCCTCACCACACCTTCCTCCCCAATCCCTCACCACCCCTCTCCCCAATCCCTCACCACACCTTCTCCCCCAATCCCTCACCACCTTCCTCCCCCAATCCCTCACCACACCTTCCTCCCCAATCCTCACCACACCTTCTCCCCATTCCTCACCACCTTCCTCCCCATTCCTCACCACACCTTCCTCCCCCATTCCCTCACCACACCTTCCTCCCCCAATCCTCACCACCCCTTCCTCCCCATTCCCCCACCTTCCTCCCTCATTTCCCTCCACATTCCTCCCCATTCCCTCACCACACCTTCCTCCCCAATCCCTCACCACACCTTCCTCCCCATTCCCTCACCACCTTCTCCCCATTCCCTCCACACCTTCCTCCCCAATCCCTCACCACACCTTCCTCCCCATTCCTCACACACATTCCTCCCCATTCCCTCACCACACATTCCTCCCCCATTCCTCACCACACCTTCCTCCCCCAATCCCTCACCACACCTTCCTCCCCATTTCCTCCACATTCCTCCCCCATTCTCACCACACATTCCCCCCCATTCCACCACCTTCCTCCCCAATCCCTCACCACACCTTCTCCCCATTCCCTCCCACACCTTCCTCCCCCATTCCCTCACCACCTTCCTCCCCAATCCCTCACCACCCTTCCTCCCCATTCCCCCACCACACCTTCCCCCCTCAATCCTCACCACCATCCTCCCCATTCCTCACCACACCTTCCCCCCCCAATCCTCACCACACCATCCTCCCCCAATCCCTCACCACGCCTTCCTCCCCATTCCATCACTCCTTCAACACCCTTTCATTACCTTCCCCATTATTTATCCCATCCCTGCCCCGTTTTACCTCCCTCCCTTTTCACCCTTTTCTCCCTCGCCCTCACTCTCTCCCTCACACCACTCCTCTCCCTCTCCTCACTCTCTCCCCTCTCCACTCCTCTCCCTCCACCACTCCTCTCTCCCCTCCACCACTCACTCTCTCCCTCCCACACCCTCCACCTCTCTCTCCACTCTCTCCCCTCCCTCTCTCCACCACCCTCACTCTCTCCTCCTCACCCTCTCCCCTCACCCCTCCTCCTCTCCCCACCCCCCTCCTCTCTCCCTCACCACTCACTCTCTCCCCACACCACCACTCTCTCTCCTTCACACCACCTCACTCTCCCCCCTCACACCACTCACTCCCTCTCCCTCACACCACTCACTCTCCCTCACACCACTCTCTGAACATCACATTCTCCCTGCCCTCCTCCCCCACCACCTCAACATCATCTACCCTCCCAACCCCTAACCACTCCCTCACACTCCCACTGCAACCTTCCACGCACCCTCTACTCCCTCCCCCACACTTGCTCCCTCCCCTGCCCTCCCCCCCACCCTCCTTCCCCCACCCATCCTACCTGAGCACGTACATAAAGGCAATGATCGGTGGAGATGAAATAATTGGCGATATATGTGTGTGTGTGTGTGTGTGTGTGTGTGTGTGTGTGTGTGTGTGTGTTTCCCTATATGGAAGTGTTTTCATATCACATCCATTGATAATCTCATTAGCATTTTTCATCCATATTCTTTCTCGCTAACTGTATGTTGTCATATCCCTGGGACTGGAGATTTGCATGTTTTAATTTGTCGAAATGCAAATCAAACAGAGGCAAAAACGGTGTTATTTCGCTGGCTAATCCTATAAGTTGTGAGGAGGCAATTTGCTTAAATGAATATTGGGCACCTGTTCGTTTCTGGGGGGGGCTTGGCTAATGTTTCGATTACATAGGCCTTTTTAGTTTATTTTTTTGTAGTGGGGGGGGGGGCATCTTTACAGGTCCTTCTGTTGTAACGGTAAACAGATGGAAATTACAGGGCCTAAAATAATAATGTCTAGTTTAGTTTTGTTATTAATATTCTTTTAGTATTGAGACTCTCCATTATTATTTGTTACCATAAGAATTTTTATAATTTTTTTCTTTTTACTGTTTATCACTCCCGTTGGTTCAGTCTGTTAACAGTTCATCACTCTAGTTCTACACTGCCGTTAGCTTCCACTTTCGTTCAGTGTGTGTGTGTGTGTGTGTGTGTGTGTGTTTCAGGTCGTCCTTTAGTCATGCATATTGTTATTGTCATGACCAAATTGTAATTGATTATGTGCATATGTTTATATTTATATAGCAAGCTAATCTAACTTGACCTAACGTAATCTAACCTAACCTAACGTAACCTAACCTAACCCATCGTAACTTATTTAATCCAACCTAACCTATG